TCCGGAGCACTCTGGCAGCAGGAATTGTGCTCGCTAGCCAGGTAATGCTCTGATCCCTTCTGTCCTAGGGATCCTAAAGGCTTTTAGGGGAGATGCTAGTGTTGGACTGTGTTTTTAGGGTGTGGTGAAGGATATAAGGCCCCCAGGATGCTGGTGGAGAGCTAGAGTGGGAATCTGATCCCCACTAGCTTATAGCAGGGGCCCTCCTGCCCTGTGCTGCTTGTCCCAAGCAGGGAAATCTCCCTGGGATGACTAGGGATGTGGAGCCTGTTTGGTGCTGGGTAGGCTGGGCTGGGACAGTGTAGGGTCTTGCAGCTTTGGAGCCCAAAGCCTGAGACTGCTCTGCATGGCTCCTGACAAAAAGCTGCTTCCCCTAACCTGGTGGACCTGGCTTTCCTCCCAGCAGCTCTTACCAGATTCTTGCTCCACTTGTTTGCTCATCCTTGAGGATCTAAGTAGTAAGTCCAGTGCTGGGAGACCTGTGTTATCCCATTCTCCACAGACAGGGTGTCCTTGGGTAAACCAGCAACCTAATGAGGTAGAAAAAGCTGTTGGAACAACTGGTAGCACAATGCAGCTGACCAGAGGGAAGCCTTTGCTGCCCTGGACCCCGTGTGGTCCTGATGTGGTTGAGGATTGTGGTGAGGGTTCCTCTAGCAGCAGCTGAGCCCAGAGCTGCAGCTCTGCCTGAAGCAGCTGAGCCATGGAAGGTGCTTGGGCAGGTTATGGCCCAGGGCTTGGCTCTAAGCCTGTGGTTTGTAAAGGTGAAGCCTCTGATGGCCTCAGAGCTGCTGCCCTGGAAGCTGCCAGGTCCTCTCCTGCTCATTGCACAAGGAGCTGCAGCAGCAGTTCCAGCTCTGCAGTGAGGAGATCCTTGGATGTGACTGAGCTCTTTGGTTTGGGGTCTGTCCTTTGTAACAGGTGATCCTAGTGAGTGGTGAGTCAAGTGTTTTAGCCTTTTTCCAAGGCACCCTCAGCCTCAAGTGCTGGGTTTTTCTGCAACTTGCTCTCCAGGAATGGATTTCCATGGGGTCTCCAAGAGTGATCAGGTTTGTCTCCTTGGTGTGAGGAATGTTGTTTCCTCACAGCTGTCTCAGCCACTCCTTGCACAGTGTTTTGTGGTGGTGTCCCTGCCACAAGAAGCACCACCATAGTCTTTCTTTAGGTGCAGCTAAGCTGCTGTGAGCATCTAAACCCTCCTGTTTCCACTCAAACGGGACCCTGTGCAGCCTTTGGAGATCCAGGAGGGATCTCAAGCTCCTCCTTGGCTATGCAGTACTTCTCATTGCTGTGAGATGGGTCTTGGTGAGGCAGCACCTAATCCCTGGTCGCAGCTTCTTTGTGTCACCACTTACCTTATTGTACTTCAACAGGCTGTTCAGGAACTTCCCTGGCTCCTGGAGAAGGCCTCTGCCTGGTTTCCAGTAATCATTCACCTTGCAGCTTAGCTTTTCTCCTGCCACCTTTTTGGACTTGACTCCTTTCATAACGCAGACCAGGGTGATTCCTGCTTTTTCCCTTCTAGTGCTGACCATCCTTGCCATGTCCAGTCACAGACAATCCCATGACTTCCCACTGGACACAGCCAACAAAGGGGCACAGCTCATGGCGACGCTGAGGCTGGTCTACCCCCATGCAGACACCCTCTGTGAGAAGGACTTCGACTGGCTCTTTGACTGCCCTCAGACAAGGCAGTTCCTTGAGTGGTTCTGCAGCACAGTGACCGAGGAGCACGTGCTGACCCCAGCTGAGGTGGAGGCCTATGAGGCCCTGCTGGCTGCAGGAAAGCCCATCCTGGAAGGTGATGCCCTTGAGCAGGCATTGCAGTTGTGCCTCCAGGTGCCACAGCTCCCAAGTGTGGTACCAGATGATGAGGCTTCCTCTCTGGAGGCCCTGCAGCAGGAGCTTCAGGAGCTTCAGGACTATCGTGACCGTCAGCTCTGGCGGTACAACAAGCTGCAGGTTTGGGTGGCCAAGCTGCAGGAGCAGCTGAGGTGTTTGGAGGAGAAGGACAAAGTAGTGAAGCAGGACTTGAAGAAGGCTCAGATAGACCTGGAACTGGAGTTCTTCCAAATGAGTGCTGTCCTGAGACAGATCATCAAGGATGCAAAGCAACTGGCAGAGTGGTACGGGGACGTGGGGAAAGGCCGGCCACCAGCACTGCTGTGTGAGATGGATCTGGGCCCTTACATGGAGCTAGAACAACAGGCCACTGATGTGTTTGAGAAGTTAAACCAGGAGGTCTTACCAGGGTGTGTCCAGGCTTCAGATGCTCAGGGTGAGAAGGATAAGCTGGAGTCTGGGACACAAATGAACTTAGACCAGGAAATACCAGAAAGAAGAGAAGCTCCATATCAAGAGTGTGCAAAGACACCATTGGGGGTAGTACCGGTAAGTCAAGGAACGCTGGTCCAAGACTCCATGGCAGAGCTGCTAGTGGAGGGCAGCAATGGGAGAGACATGTTGAGCATGGAGGATGAAGAGGAGAGAGATGGCAGCAAGAAAGCCACAGAGAAAATGGACACCAAGCACAAAATGGTGCCAGAAAGCCTTGGGACTGATGGTGATGAGCTACTGAAGGACCAAGACAGTGTCTGGAAGGAGCTGAGCCGAATAGAGAAAGCACATATCTGTGCCCAGAGGGAGGTTATAGTCATGTCAGCAAAAGTGGAAGGCAACTGTGCTGCGCTGGAGTGGGCCCAGAAGACTCTGGAAGCTCTTGAGAAGAACCAGGTAAGGCCAACACTCCATTCCCTCCACCACCCTTTGTGGCAGGGTCTGCCCGGGCTGCAGGCAGCCCCTCCTGTCCAACGCTGGAGCACAGCAGACATGGCAGGAGGGGCTGGCAGAGCCAGGCTGTGCCCCCTGCCCCCAGCCTGTCCTGTCTCCCCCTGCCCAGCAGGCAGCCAGGGCAGAGCTCTGCAGCCAGGCCCCCCTGCACCAGAAGCAGCTTCACATCCTGCGCTGCAGCATCGTGCAGATCCTGAACCACCAGCTGCCACCCCTGCTGCAGGCACAGGCCCGGCTCTCCAGCCTGCCTGTCCTGCAGAGGAAGCTCAGCCTGGAGGCTGCGGGGCTGGAGGACACTGCCCGGAGGCAGAAGGAGGCGGCTGCGTGGCTGCTGGGCCAGCGGAGCCGCCTGGATCTGCTGGAGCTCCAGCTGCAACGGGAGAGAAAGGAGCTCGAGCAGAAGGCTGCTCAGCTGGGGAAGATGGCAGCTGACATGAGGGAAGCCCAGGCCAGGCTGAAGAAGCAGCAGGACTACTTCAAAGATGCCAGCTCCTCCTGGAACAGCTGTTCACGCACATGGGTAGATGCCACAGACCCCACTGCTCTGCGGTAAGGACACGTGTGTGCGTGAGGGGCAACCTAGAGGTGGAGGAGGTGGCGTGGGAAGGGGGGAGGCACACAGCAGACCCGAGCTGATAGGCAGTCTAGCAGTGCTCCTCTGCCAGTGCAGAGTCAGCCTCACTCCACAGTGGTGTGAAATGCCCCAGAAGATGGCAACTGCTTCTTCCTGGCTGACTAGGGCTGATACAGCAAAGTGTGGGCTTGAAGAAGGTAGTGAATATGGAAAACAGATGTTTTCCTAGGATGTGAAGGTAGGAGAGTGTAGAGGCATGTTCAGCCGTGGAGGAGGAGAGCTGGGCCAGAAGGAAGCATAAGATGCTTGGAGCAAGAACTTTATCTGGTTGAGTGTCCTGTACTGGCAGGGGATTCTCTGGAATACTGGGTGCTGATGTCTGCCAGCAGGGAGTCCCTGACTGGCTCTTGAGCCAGCCCAGTCCTTCATGTTGGTCTTCCTAGATCTCCAGTACATGGGTTGCTCACCAGGAGGGGCTGTTGCCCCACACCTGCTTGCATCCCAGTCCCACAGCACAGTGTCCCCTGACCCCTTCTTCCTCATCACTGCCCCGCTGCTCACACCTTTGGCTGGCTGTTCCCTCCTGCAGGCTCTGGGACGTGCTGATGGGACAAGACCAGAGTGTGCAGCAGTTCCGCAGCTATAAGGCCCTAGCAGCCCGGTGCTCCCAGCTGGTTCAGGACCAGAGGGCACTGGAGGCACAGCTGGCAGCTCCTACATCCCAGCTCCCTGCCCTGGAGTCCTCCACAGAGCAGCTCTACCGGCTGCTGTACAACAGCTCCAACCAGTTGCAGCTGTCCTCTCCAGTAAGCAAGAACTGCTCCACCAGGCCTTGTTGGGTGGCAGGGGCTGGAAGTCAGACCCCTCTGTTCCACCTTCCCAGGGTGCAGGGGGAGAACTTAGTGCCTCCCAGTCCGCCCAGGGAGAGGAGGCTGGTCTGATCCTTGCCTTGTCCCAATGCTGTGAGCGAGGCAGCAGCCTCTGCTGAGCTACCTCTGTCAGAGGTGATTCTAGCTGTGCTTCACACGTGCTGTTCAGTGTAGAGGTTGGGGTGTTAGCCAAGGTGGCCCAGTAGAGCTACCTCTGTTCCTTGGACGGATGTGTTTGGAGGCCTGAGCCAGGGGAGCAGTTTGTGATGGGCTGAGCTGTTCCATAGGTGGGAGGAAATCCCCCTTTCCGCACGTTGACATGTGTTTGGGTTCTTCCCCTCAGGAGATGACCGAGCTGATGCAGCAACTGACCACCATGCAGGACGACCTGTACCAAAAGCTGGCAGAGCTCCTGAGCGAGCTGGCTGCCAGGCGCAGGGCCCTGGAGAGCCCCCTCCTGCGGGCGCAGCGCAGCCTCTACGTCTACTTTTACTGCAATGAGGATCGGCTGAGAGAGGTGGTGGAAGAGCTGGAGAAGCAGGTGTCAGCTTCCTCCACTGATGGAGCTGCCCAGTAGGTCAAAAGGGTCCTCGCTCCCTGCCATACAAGTGATGTCCTCTTGTTTGGGCTGGGTCACTAATCCTGGATTGGGAGAGAACTCTGGTGGTCCTGGCTTCACTCACAGGTGACTTGGGTCATGGCTCAGCAGCTGGGCTTAATAGAAGCAGGGAGCTGATTCCTTAAATTAAGAGTTTCTGAAGCTGCTGGGTGGGTTAGATGATGTGTAAGAAATTGATGCATCTCAAGAGTTGGCACTGGAAGCCTTGTATAGACAGGAGACTTTTCATGCCAACTCCACAAGAGTTTGGGTGATGGGGACAAGTGAAGTGACACTGTCTGTGTCTTGCCCCACCTTCTGGGAAAAGGAGTTCTGTATGGTTTTGTGGGGAATAAAAAGGTCTGTTATTCACACTTGCAGAGCAGTAAGCCTGTCCTTCCCTGCCACAGCTGTTACTTGCCCAGCTCAGAATCACCTCCTTTCCCTGACTATCTATTTTACTGTCAGATCAAGCAGGATTTGGTACAGTCTCCCCAAGCCTCCCCAAGCCCTGTGTCCAGTCTGAGCAGCCAGGCTTGGAGTGCAGTGGTACCTGCATTTGCTCCATGGTTGCCACTGTGTCCTTGGCTACTTGCGCCAGGAGAGGGCGGGCGGGCTCCAGCTCTTCCTGCATCCTCACCACGTCCTCTGCTGTCTGCAGGAGCTGTGGGAGCAAAGCAGAGCCAGGGAGCACAGGCAGCAGGGGATCATCATTCTTTTAGAGCCGTTACAGACTCAAACTTCCAAAAAAAATCTGGCCCTGGCAGAACCTGTTGTCTGTGTGTCTAGAGAGACAGCAGACTGAGCATACAGGAGCTGTGCTGAGTGTGGCACCTACCATCCCACTGACATCTGGCACCAATGTGCAGGACCTGGTGCAAGAAGGAGGAGGCAACACACTGCAGGTCTTCAGCAGGGGCACTCATCAAACCAGTTGATAAGACAGCAGTTCACAGGAGCGGGGAACTGGCTCAAGCATGTGCAGAAGACTTCTCCAATAGGGCTGAGGGAAAGGCATACAGAAAAGAGATGTTACTAGGCAATATAGTCAAAGGGAAGGTCACCACCTTCAATGAACATCACAAATACCACAGCTTCAACATGAAAGGCCAGGTATTAACTGGAATATTTTTGGTCTTCCCCTGGGTGGCAATGGCATGGCTGTGCTGATGGGAGAACTCACCTCAGTCTTGCCAGGCTCAGCCATGAGCAGGCCCTGGAATACCTTGGAGAGGTCTCTGAGGTTGAAGGTGTAATGTGACTTTGCTGATGTGGGCAGCAGCTGGGATATGCTGGTGGGATACACACAGAGACTGGCACTAACCAAGGGCTCATTCAGGTCTTTGACTGCAAGTGCTCCTGTTGCAGAGACAAAGGAAGGTGGAGAGGATGCCAAGGTGGTGACTCTGGGTTGAGAAGGTCCTAGCAGAGCAGACAGGTGGCACTGAGAAGCCCAGGTGTTGCTAGGACTTGGCCAGGAACACACTTTTCTTCTTCTGTCTTCTGCAGAGACTGTGTGGGGATGTGACCAAGCACCTGCTCACTGCAGTGGACAGTTTGCCAATGAGTTTCCAAAAAAAGGGAACCAGATGTGGGAAGAATGTATCCCAACCATTCTGTGATGTTAGGACTTGATGCACGCCCAGGAGAGACACTGCCAGACACGTAACTGGTGCCTGAAATACTCCAGACAGTTTTTCCTTCTCCCTCCTTACACTCCCACAGTGGAGTCTCTGCTACTTTTAAGCAAGAAGGTGCGAGTGCCCCCTTAGCTAAACTACCCTGAGACTCCCCAAGCTCAGCAAGTGTAAAGTCACAGAATTCCTTATGCAACAGTCTGGCAAGATTTAAAGACAGCTGCCAGTTTTAGAGCACAAAATACTCTTTTTCTTTCCCCCCTCCCAATTAAGTTCATTACAAAGACTCCTGGGGAAGTAGAGCCCTGTGACATCCTAGCATGTTGCACTTTTTTTGCATTATTTCCAAAGTTCTTTAGTTTCTTTTATAATCACAGCTAGATGTTTGTGTGCCCCTGAGCTCCCAGTCAGGTACTGGTGCTTGTGAATATCACAAGCACTCAGAAACTTCTGCTTTGCTTCTCTCATAGCTCACCATTCTCACTCCTTCCTACTGGCAGACTTGCAGATGAGGGCACATTTGCAAAGCTGATCCTAAATTTCCCAGCCTGTCAAACAGAAGAGGGCTCATGTCACTCCAAATGAACCCTCTTTTCTGGATGGCTGTAGCACCATGCTTAGACCCACCCTGCTCCGCTGCCACAGGCTGCAGCAGATGGAGACTAACAGAAGGCTCTGCTTCCACAGAAGGCTGTTGTCTGGGCAAGTGTCTGTCTGCTGAAAGCACAGGTAAGTTACACCATGCTGTGCCCATCAGCTTCTCTCTCTCTCTCATCTTTCTCCTATTACTTATGCACTGGATCTCTAACTTTTTTTTTCCTAGGAGTCCAGCCAGAAAGAGACAAAAAAACCCCCAGTTACTGCTTTACCTGCTGAGTGGAAGGATATCTGCATCATCCATCACAAACAAAATCCCCTTTGAAAGGCCCGGGCTAGAGGGTCCTGTATGAAACTGTGAGAGCCAAAGGTGAAGTTTGCTGATTTGCACCAGCAGAGTTTGGCCCCGAGACTAAAGAGTCTATGAGCTCTGTTTGCTCACATCCAAACAACACTTCCCCCAACAGCACCTCCAAGGAGCTAATGCAAATTCCAGCTTCCAATACTTTGATCAGATCATCAGTATTAACTACTCCCCTTCCGAACTCTATTACCATTGGGATGACCTATAACATGAGGAGAAGGTGGCAGTTGTCTGTAGAACTTACCCATCCAGCTGCCAAGGAGGTAGAGGAGATAGCCTCTTGCTGCTGTCCTGCATCTCAGTGAGAGTGAGGTAGCTGAAGTGGTGACAGCATTCCTTCCCCATCCAGGAGGTCCCCTGGCACAGACAAAATGTCCAGGTCCACCTCCTTCTCTCTTTTACTGAGACATACAGCTCAGCCTGAGTGGCACCATGAAACAATTTCTTTGGGCATTATGATCTGGACTTCATGTCATCCAACTATAAAATACCAAGCTTCCCTTTAATGCCTCTGTCCTCAGTGAGAAGCAAACAGGCCTTGCTAGCATCCAGTTCAGGTCCCAGGCAGGTTATTTGCTCTCTGGAATGCCGTTTTCTCCACCAAGTGTAAAGGGAGACGCAGGACAGCTACTCTGCTAATTCACATGCTTCAGTTGGGCAACTGTAGATTATGAGGATGAATCCAGGCTAAAGAGCATTACTCTGCCCTCTTTATAGCAGAAGCTCCCCATCCTCAGCTGCCTGTGAACCCAGTTGGTGCTGGAGCTGGTCAACAGCAGAGCAGACACACAAGGAATGCTGGCTGTTGGCAGCAAGAACTTAATCTGTACGTGAAAACCTGGAGAACAATTTCTGTTCAAGCTCTGGACTCTACTCCCATTATTAAAGAATTATGTGTTATTTTTATAGTGCCAGTGAATTTCAGGGTATTGTTACAGGGGTGAAGGGAAAACAGTCTGTTCTAAAGCCCAGCTGATTAAAACAGATGGATTTGTGTGCAAATACATTTTACATGACTGCTGTATTTTTCTTTCTGTCATGTCAATGTGTCTCTGTGCTGCCCTCGGGTAGAGTCACATCATAAATAAACTGTCAAGCTTAACTGGAATAACCTATGAAATGTCCTTCAGCAAAGATGCACCAGAGGGAAGGGATGCACCAGTAGGGAAGCCCTAGGTCTCAGCATCAGCAACACTTACTTGCCTCTTCTCTCTGTAGAGGCAGTTAGTTTCATATTTATTTAGTTGCCCTTGTTTTACAGAACAGTCTTTAGCTCTGCACCTGAGCTAGTGGTGGGTGGCAGGGACACAGGGAGATCCACACCGAACGTCTTTGCTTCTGAATGAAGTGAGCTGCAAAGTCAACCTCAGGTCACATATGGAAACATAAACAGTAGGACCTGGCTGTCAGGAGGGGAAATGGGCTATTGGTTCTTCCTTCCAAACCATGTAAGCAAGCAGGAGCCCTGGTAACGGGCACGAAGTGCCTCTTTATGCCTGAAAGTGACTCCTCATCATTCAAGGCCACCAGTGTATTCATACAGAACAATCCAAGTGTGCAGTACAGAGGTCACTTTTCTTCAGAAGCAAAGCAAGTGTTTTTGAGCTGCTATATCTTAGAGCAGGGGCATGAGCTCCAAGCAATCCAATTATTCCTTGTTATGCAGTTAATGCTGCGAGCTGAGCTGCAGTAACTGTCTGGGCATGTGCTGGCAGCTGGGCCAAGCACACAATGAAAGATGTCAGCTTAAATCGCCGTGACTGGCTCCTGGAGCTCAGAGAGGATAAGGACTTCATCACTTCTGGTTTTATGCCACTACCCTAAATAGTTCTCAGCCTTGAAGAGAAGATGCTCCAGACCAGAAGAAAAGCGTTTCCCGTCTGGAAGGAAGGAGAGCAGGTTTTGTCCTTTACCACTCAGGCATTAGCTGGCTGAACTCTCCATAAAGCTGGCCCATTGTGAGGGATTTGGGATTCAGCACGAAGCAGCTGACTGCTTTGTAATTCCCACCACTGGCTGCAGGCTGAGCTCTCAGTGATGTCATTGTAGCTGCCAGGACTTCATAACTGTGCAAAAGCAGGAGAGCAAGGGACCTAAAACTGCCACAGCTCTGTGACAGCAAAGTGACTTGCTCTCACAGCAACTGCACTCAAAGGCAGTGAGAAGGGAGACACAGGGAAGGACAGCAACATAGTAAGGGGATGTCTGGCTGTACTCATGGAAATAAAGCACTCTCTGTGCAGGGGAGAGGAAGTCAGATCTCCTGTGCAGGAAGCTTGAAGCATCTCGAGGTGTCAAAGTCTGCCTCAGCCTTAGAAATTTGCAGCAGAGCTAACAGGCCTCAATCTAATCTCTCAGCTCAAAAGAGAGAGCTACTAATATATTTCCCCACGGCTATAAGTCAGTACTAAAAGGCAGCATCTTGGTCTCCTGACTACCGAGAGAAGCTGGGAATGCTGGAGCATGAGTTTTCTGTGAAGCTTAACCCTCTGCATCACTAGGTAGGTGATGGTTTGCTGGGGCCAGCACAGTGTCCCAGTGATACCTTCACCATCCCAGAGCCTGTTTGCCCTACCAGCATAAGGCCATGACAAACCACAGTGGTTTCATAGAGCTGGATGCACTTAGTCACAAAACTTGTAGAGGAAGATGATGCAGGGTGGGTCTAGGACCAGCTGTCTCTTTTCTAGCACAGAGCACTGGACTAAAAGCCCAGGCCCAGAGGGAGCTTGTGGAGATATCACTGAAAAGCTTGAGGTTGCCCTGCAGGAATTTTGGTCCACTGGCATCCCTGATAGCCCACAGGCAGGTCAGCTCCTGCAAAGATTTAAGAACTCAGAACTTCAGAGATCCTGCCTCTCTTACATGGCTACAGAAAAGGCCACGTAAGTCTATGACAGTGTGAAGTATAAGCACATTTACCTCACTCATAGTAGGATTCTCTCTTTTGAGGTTGCCAGCTGTTGAGATGACAGTCTTCACAGCTCTCATCCCAAAGTTATAGTGATCCTGGAAAAGGCACAGAGGAAACAATGTCATCAGATACAGAAGCATCACCTAAGCAAGAGTGAGCCTATGCATGCACTCAGTTAGCAAGTGAGAGAAGAAAAATGAGAGAGTTATGCCTCCAGAACAACTGCTCCTTCATCCAAGTCTACTCTATGGGTCCTTCAGACAACTAACTAGTCCTCAGCTGTACAGACTATGGGTGAGGAAGGAGACAATAACTGGATGATCAAAAATCCTAGGTGGTGGGAGAAGCAGGCAGAGCTGCTCAATGGTCCTGCCAAGGACCAATCCCAGCTAAGACTGAAGGTGAAAGCAAGACAGGAGGAGAATGAGAGTTAGAAAGAAGGGAGGCAGATGATGACCTTTTGGTGATGTGCTGTCACAAGGCACCAAGAGAACCATCCACATACTTTGTGTCTAGGCTGAGAAAGCCTCACACTTGAAAAACATTCATGGACATTAAGGCATCTATCTGGCTGCTGAGCTGCTCTGACAATAGTCTGAATGTTGTGGTGAGCTTCTTTGCAAGGACTTTGGCTTCATTAAACCCAAAAGAGTAGAGTGAGATCTCAGCAATCACAGAGTAATCAGGGACCATCATAGTCACAGGACAGAAGAGAGCCTGAAACATCCAGTTCCAACATAAGATCAAAACACGGTTGGGTTTTTTTTTGCTTTTTCCAGCAAACTGAAAAGGCTGAGTATTTACCCCAGGTTGTTTAGATGACACAGCATGAGTGTGTCTGGCACCTGCCAGACTGTCTGCAGAGTGCCATTTGCTTACAGATGTGATACCAATCTCAAAAATATCCTAGAAACTTTACAAAAGCATCACATTCTAATCCTTGCCATGGACACACTGGTGGCCTGGGCAGCATCCAGTATCTGTGTCACCCCTGTTCCCTGCAGTCTTCCCTCCCTGCCTCGAGGTTCTTGGGCAGTTCAGTACGTCCCACACACCCTGGTTTCATTGTGATGAAGGCTGCACAGGATGGGACCAGTGGGATCTCTGTGCCTTCAAACACAAAGTGATCCACCTAGAAAATAAAAAATACAATAATCCTCATAGAGCTGAGCCTGACCTGCAAATTAAATAATGTAGCAGAAGCTTCCAAGAGGAAAACAATGTCTTTCAGTAGTTAAATTATCAAGCACAGACACACACAGCTGCCCTCAACTGTAGTGACTCAATCTGGCCCCACAGCAGGAGTCCAGTATTACCAACAATGTTTCCCCCTGTTTAAGAAACTGTGCTCATGGAAGATTTACTGATAGGATTTTTTTTAAATAATTTTTTTTTCTTCTCTTGAACAGACTTCTATCCCTTCAGCTGTAAACAAACATCTTTCCACTTATTCTGCAGTAGAGTTTGGACCTGAATTAATTTGTGGTAGAGAAGGCAAAAGGAAATCTAAATCCTTTTTAAAGCTGTGTGGTTGTAATTTTAGATGGGGGATAAAGTAATGCAGAAGAATTTGAGGACAGCAAATTTCTAATTCCAAGCCAAAGTCAAGGAGATTCAGGTCTTAACCCCTCTGAGTCTCCAGAGAACAAAGCAGAGGCTGGCTGCTAGGGTAGCTGACAGCTGAGTCTCCATGTAGAGCCAAGGATTCACTTTCGTTGCAACTCTGTGTCCATGAGGATGCATTTTCCTGCACATATTGGGTTTTGTGAATCCAATAAAACTTGGATAACACATTTAGACAAATGTGGTGCTGAGCAGCTGATGGCAGAACATTGTCTGCTTTTACTGCAGCTCCTGTTTGTATCAGCTGAATGGATCTGTATTGGAGTGTCTCCCTCTCTGAAGTCTGCTGGCACTGCAGCTCAAGCTGAGACGTGAGACTGTGGGCAGTGGTGGCAGCACAGATGAGGGTGAGGTTACAAAACCCACCCAGGATGCTGAATAGGTAATGGCCTGATATAATGCACCACAGCTTGGGCATTGGTCATGCCTCTTCAGGTTCAAGTATGTCTGTCTGAGTTGTCCCTGAGCAGTGAAGTTGGTCCTTTGTGAAGATGTATGCAAAGACAAGGACTTGCCTCAACTAGCTCAAGTGAAGAGTATTTTGTCTGCCTTTGCATCTGCATGTTCATTAAGTACCCTCTGCTCCTGTGCCTTCTGAAGGGTTGTGATCTGCTGGGCCACCACAGCCAGCACCTCGATATCAATATGGTTGGACTGATCAAAGCCAGCCCATGCACCAGTGCTAGGCAAGGAAGGAGAGATGATGAGTCAGGAGCAAACCTGCAGCCAGAAGTTCAGCCAGATCTAGAAACTATAAATCCTTCTACTGGAGAAGCAGCTCAGTGACAAGAAGTGAACCTAAAAGGGCCCACAGCAGGTAGTGACACAATGGAAGGGGCTGTAGTTCCTCATCCCAACTACACATCCCAGCCCATGTGATGAGTGGAGGAGGATGGTCCCTGCAAGATCATGGCAATGTCTGATCCTACAGCCTCGGCCAAATTCTGCATGATACAGATTTGGGCTTGAGAGAAATGTCACACTGAATTCCTCTTTTGTACCTGAGCAATAAGCATAGCAGGTACAATTTAGACATGTCTTAAGACCATTTTTCAGAGCCTAGAAGACTGCTATAAAGATGGAAGCACATATATGAGGATGGTGCTCTTCCCACAAGGCATGGTTTGAGAAAGAAGTTAAATTACTTACAAAGAAAACATCTGAGAAAAGAGTATCAGCTTTTGCTGGAGTAACTAATTCAGATTCACCAGTGTGCAACAGACTAATTGGACCAGCTCTGTTTGAAATGTAGAGAAGAGAGAAGCTTCTCTGAGAGGCTCCCTCAGGGCTTAGAGCAGTGTCTCCTGGCTGCTCAGCTCTGGATACACTCAGCAGAGTCTCTCCTAAAGATTAAGCAGCTTCTGGGCTGAATCTCAGCCCAAAGTGTATGATATTAAAACAACAGCCAGAGCTGCAAACATTTGCACAGGTGTCTAACAGTGGCTTGGTGCAAAGCATTTTAATTTTGCCTTAAATGAACAGAATTCTCTTTATCCTTTTTTTTTTTTTTTTTTTTTTTTTTTTTTTTTTTTTTTTTTTTCATCTGCTTTTCCTCTTTTTTTTTTTTTTTTTTTTTTTTTTTTAATTGGCTCAACTGTCTCTCCCTTCTTGCAGCAATTTAATAACTTTGCTCATTCTGGAACAAAATAACCCCCTTATTAGGGTTTTGCTTGTCCTTCTGGGCTGATATGAAAAATACCCACCAACTCCCAGTGGCCAGTATCCCTACCCACTCTTGGATGATGACATACAGCATTTCATTGTACCTGGCTACTCCCTTGAATAAACCTTCCCACTGCCATAAAGTCAAGCTGGTTGGAGCAGCTGAACACAACAGTTTGGATTGTTAGTGTTTTCCCCAGGTCTTTTGCTTTTTTCTGTTTTGCCTCCTCCTGCTGGTTCTGCAGGTGCCCCTCCAAATTTCAGGTGCAGAGCTCCTGTGGGATACTGATTTCAGTAGGGGAGACATATGATCTATCCAGCTGGACACAGGTAAGAATCCATCCCTCATTACTTTGCAGAACTGCTTAGATATGCAGTTAGCTATGAGATATGGAGTTAAAGATATGGCCTTGATTAGTATTCATGGGGGCCTGCATGGATAAATCCTTCTGCCACTGGCTACAAATTCACTCTCCAGGAAAAGGACAGTTATAAAAGGGTGTAACTATTATTGCTGCTGCTTCCACTGGTTTGTAGAAGAGCTCCTGAGCTATCAGGTGGGCATTCTCTATCTCAGTTACAGCACTGCATTGAGAATCAAGAGAGGAAAAGCCATGCATCTGAGCACTGATCACTAGGAACACAGTAGAACCAATGCCAGGTTGCTCCTATGCCCTTGTCTCAGGTAGTTCTTTACTGTACAAATGGTTTCTATTTACATACATGAGAACAGCATGGTCAGATCCTTGGTTTAATCCCAAATGAGGCTTGTTAATCCGGAAATAAATATATAAAAGAAGATACACAAAACAATCTCCTTACCTGTCAGTGAGAGGCATGATAACCAGATGGCTGCTGTTGCCCAGATGTTCACAGCCATAGATAAATTCAGCATTGACAGCTCCAAGGTTCAGGTTCCCTCTGGTCCAGTTGTATCTAATGATGAGAGAACATGACATCAGAAAGAGGAACACTGGTTGGCAGACAGCACAGCAACTCATAAGACTACAGCCTGCAGGTCTGGAGACCTCTCCAGAGAAGTAATTATAAGTAACACAAGAGAGTAGACAGTTCTCACAGGACCTGCAATTAGGTATTATATCAAGCATCACACTCCTTCTTGGGCAAGGGGCAGGGCCTTTCTCAGTGAGGCTGTGAAACACAGGTGTGGCTTAGTCTGTATTGCCCAGTGGATGCCATCAGCACTAGGTCTGTCTCAGTTGCCTTAGAACTGGCACCCTGAGCAGCCTGCACTCCCACTCCTCAAAGGGATATCAGAGGCAACTCATGAATGCTGCTTACAGACTATCACACTCCTTCTTGGGCAAGGGGCAGGGTAAGGAGAATGAAGACTGGCAAGGGAGGCCAGGTGAGGTTCAAAAGGTGTGGTTCCTACCTGAGCTGGGAGATCCACTCAACCTCACTCTTGCTTGTCGTGTTCTCCTCAGTCAGCTTGGCTGCAACATCCATGGCATGGACCTCAATCACAGGAAGAGCTGACAACACTGACAACACTGCTCACTGTATCTTAGACAATCTTCCAAAAACCAGGACAATCAAATCACCCAGACAGGTAAGGAAAAGAAAGTTCTCTGAAACACATCCATGTCCCGAGGAGCCAGGATGCACTAGCACAAGGCAATCAAACTTAGGGCTTGCTAAGCCCAGGTCTGTGTCCTGGCAGCTTCTGCCTCTTCTCTTGTCAGAGGTACAAATTACTGCTCAGAAAGCAAAAAAACATTCAGGGCTGGCTCAGAGCTGGCTTTTGCCTACTCCATTTTCATGTTTGGTGAAAAGAAAGAGTTAGAGCCACCATGAGGCCCAGAGCTGAGGACACTGTATCTCCCAGGTATTAGGTGTAACTAAACACACAGAACAGATACAAAGGATGCAGTATCATCACCGGTGACCTCTATAGCAAGCCTGGAATCAAGATACAAGACCTGCCTGTCTGTGATAAAACTCCTACCTCTGGATAAGTACAAAGTGACCTTTCTACGTTGTCCCATACACTGGCCTCTATGGACTGGTCAACTTCCAGCAACCAGACCTCAACATTTTCATTGGGAGAGATGGGAACAATCAGCTTCATCTCTTCTCTGTCAGCAGAGTTCCTGCAGGTCCTCCTGGAACAGCAGCTAATGGAAGAAGTACAACAGGAGATGTGAATGGAGAATCTCTTTTCTACCCCTGCCTTCCTCCCACCAGGGGACAGTCAGGCTGAAGTGGTGAATGCTCATTAAAAATCTGGTGCCCAGCTTGGTTTGACAACCAAGTGATAAAGTGTATGACCTGTGCAAAATGGCCTCTTCAAAAAATGGAGGATGATTGTATGAGAAGAAGAGATTCACATTGTTGGTTTAACTTGAGTGAAGCAAATCAAATTACAGGTAGGATGAACATTTCTCTTTGCCTGTCTAAGAATCAAACTCTTGATTCCTGTTCAATTCTGTTGATTTAAACCATTTTCCCTGAGGTCACAGTGCCTGGTTTTAAGGGCAAAATTTTAACATCTTCTCCAATGCCCTAGCATATCACTGCAAGTCCCCTTATTTATTTCAAAGGCTTTGCACCGGGTTTGCAGCTCAATTTCCTTTCTATTTTCCCAAACTAATGACTAGGAGATTGGTTTTAGTGTCTGAGTATTGTGGTGGCATAAGCTGTGACTAGCCATGAGTCTGAAGTCTATTAGGAATAATAAAGGGGAAAAATAGCTGGGTTGACCCTGGGTCCTAAGTAAAGATGAAGCCACAAACTTAATTCAGTTCAGGTTTGTTCACTTCTTGTCCCTCCTGAGGCTGTCAGCAAGAGCAGAACTGCATTCTAACCAAGTAACTGCAAGTAGACAGTTAAGTTTGAGCTATTTCTCTTGGCCTCCATGATGGGATGGACAGACATCTCCAGAGGGAGTGTCCTCTCCTCCTAAGATAGGTATCTCAGAGAATTTCTGTGAGCTGCCCTTTGCAGATGCCTATTTTCCCTTCATTGTCTAAAAGGCAACTGAGGGTGCCCAGTTCATAGGCAGAGATCTGCCTTTTAAATGTCTGAAGTGAGGTTGCTCGGGTGCCACTTGAGGGCAGGCAGCACTTTGCAATCCCTCCATCCACCTACAGCCTCCTCCCAGGAGACACATTGCCCCAGAGCAGTATGAACACTCCTCCACATCTCAACACGCCCCCAAGTGCCCATGACACCAGCTCTCCCAAGGTGGGCCATGCCACCAGCTTTGCCTACCTAAGCAATGTCCTCCAAGCATTTATGGAGCTGAGGTTGTGCAGCGTTTTCCCAATCAACAGGGTCAACAAAAAGGACACGGATGACAAGAGAAAAAGGAGGCTTACTTCACTGAATACTTCAAAATAATTTAGTCAAAAAGGTAAGCTTATTATACTCTAGTTTTAAGCAGCAAAGAGAATAACCAAGGCAATGCAGCTAATCATTACTACAAAGAGCTAGATACAGTGATTAAGAAAGATACATCACCAAGTGCCCTGATTATGTGTTACCATCATACAGATCTGCAGTGGCTGGGAAGCCCTGGTTGCAGCCAGGATTTGGAAATTATAAGATAACATTAGTGACATTAGTAATAGTCTCATGGTGAAGGCATCCTCTTCTGTCCATGGAAGTCAGTGTTCACATTGGTCTTCGTATCCAGGCACATGGACAATGTGCTCTCCCAAAGGGACTGTTGTGGTAATCAGGTCAATTTAGTCTTGCAGTATCTACAGAACAAAATTCTATACCATCTAGTTACCCTCACAAATAACACTCAGTTGCAGGGACATATTCCCATTTTTCTTGCCCAGGTTTATGATTAAAACA